AAAAAATAAAATAAAAATACAGAAGAAAAAAACAAGAGGATTGTATCCGACAGCTAGACCCATCTATTTCACTTGCCTATGTTCTCTATTGGGAGATACTGTTATGCAGAGGCTGGTGTGGGTGCCTGTGAATTACTTACTATTATCCTAATGGTGTGCAGAAAGGGGCAAGTCGAGATTAAAAGTGTAGACAGGACGTGAGCATGTTTCCCAAAGCTAACTGAATAATTACTGACATTAGCTCTTCCTTTTTCCTGTCTTTGTTCTTCTCTGTTGCTCTTGCTCTTCCTCCCGTTGCTCCTGTGCCTCGTAGATGTGTCATCGGCAGCTGATCACATCCTGGTTATCCCTGGTGTTGCTGGCATCGCCCCTCCTGGCCATGTGGGAACTGGAAAAAGACGGTAAGGAGCTCTTCCCCACTCCCTACACTCCAGCCAGCGCTCACAGGTGACACTGTGAGGCATCAGCCCGAGGCGGGCAGTCCTGCGCTGGGCTCTCCTCGCGAGAGCCACACCCTGTGACAGGGCAGAGTTTTTCTCTCTTTGCCTTTCAGGGAATCTGGATCATGTGCTTTTCATTCTAGAAGCCATAAAAGGAGCTTTGTGAGGGAAAAAGAGACACTGTCTTTTCCAGGTGTTTCATACAGTCAAAGCACCTGAGGATTTTCAAAGTCGTAGGCCTGTGTGCTACCATTCCCCACCTCACCACCCTGTAGTGTGCCCTCAGTTGGTGTCTGATGTCTTAGCCTGACAGAGCACTTTGGAAGCAGCACTGGATTGAGACTCACATGGTTTGGGTTCAAATCCTGGCTCTGCCAGTTACTGGTCCTGTAAACTTGAGCTAGGTCACTGCTGACCCTCAGTTTCCTCAAGTATGAATTGAATATAAAAATGTGGGGCCGGGGTGTTAGCTCAGCAGAATAAGCGCTTTCCTGGCAAGTGCAAGGTCCTGAGTTCAATCCCCACTGCCAAATAAATATAAAAATGTGACATTAGTAGAGGAGTTTTTTTAAGTGTGTGAATGAATGTAGAAGGGAACGCATTAGATAGTGAAGTGAGAGTGAAAGTTAGCTAGCCCTATCCAGGTTGTTTAAAATACTGTCTATGGACTTTTTATTACCCCAGTGATAAATGGGATGATTAGTAGCTTACAAGAGGTACTAGTAGAATCAGGAGCTTCCTCTATTCTGCTAGCATTTCACAGTGGCTCTCGCATATTTAACTCCTTAGTTAGTTCAGATTTGGCAAACCACAGAAATTCCAAAACATCAATGTGAGAAACACAGCAGGTTTGTGATGTGGGGAACAAGCTTCCGGTTCCCAGCCAACCGCTGGCTTCAGTGCGCTCCTCACCAGCTTTCCCCAACAGGCATTCCTCTGCTTGTGGGCCAAGGTCAGCTGGGGGCTCTGACAGGAAAAATAGCATGCCCTTCAGTTGCCCAGGGACCAATGCAGAACAAAACAAAGCCAAAAGCTCTATGCAATCTATGTCAGCACAGCTAATTGTTTCCAAAGTGTCGGGCCCGATACCTTTTGATTCTTATCTTTGTTACCCACTCAGTTTACAAATCCCGTTGATCTTCATGAGAACTGTATGCTTCCCAATGCTTTGCGGTAGTATGCCAATGTAGTAACAAGGGCCATCTGTTTGGAGAGCATTTAAGGACGCTATGAAACACTCACATGAACTCATTTCTATAACACACATGACAACTTCTAAAGCAAGTACTACTGTTTTCCTCATTTTAAAGATGATACCATCCAAGCCTAAAGTAGTTGAGTGCTCCCTGGACAAGGACATAAGCCAGTGTAAGGCCCAGCTCTGGCTCTAATCCAGACCTGTGTCCCTCCAAAATCCAGGCTCTTTTCTTCACCAAAGAGGCTGTCAAATTGGAGAAGGCATTAAAATCATCATCAAGGGGATGGGGCGGGGGCTTAAAAGCCAGGTCACTAGGCCCATCCCAAAAGCTTCTGATTTAGCAAGTGAAGAGTTACATTTCTCACAAGTGCCCTGGAGGTGCTACCTGCGTGACTGGACTTTGAGAGCCTTGAACTCCTCTACGCAGTCAGTAGTTGATGTGAGGATAAAAACAAAACATGAGTGAAGTTTTGACGAGACACATTCTTTATAGTGCTGTACTGAGCCATTTCTCAAGTGTCAGCTTAGACACCTGGCATTAGAGAGCCACTGAAAAACCTAGGGCACAAGGAGGTCTGAGGTGTAGCTCTCATTCTGCAGAATGGGCATGACCGAGGGCAACCCCTTGGCTTCAGTACCCTCCTCTGCAAAACGGGAAGACTGAGATCTACCTGACTGCTTCCTAAGAGTGTAAGATGAATAAAAAACAAAAAACAATAGAGGTACTGAAACTCTCCATTTCTGAGTTTCATGTACAAGGAACTAAATCCTTAAATCCCCGTGGAAAATTTTAAGAGTTTTTCAATGTGGTTGGCTGAGTCTTCAGTGCATGAATAACACTAACAACTAACACGGAGTTTACTTCTTGGCAGGCTCTGTGCTGATTGCTTCACATGTGTTTTCATTTACTCCTCACACCAAGCCTAAAACACAGATACTACTATTGCTATAATTTGTATTATCATTTGGCAGATGAGGAAACTGAGGCTTGTGGTGGTTAAACGCCTTGCTCCAGATGCTGGTTAGCGGGGCCAGGATTTCTATTCTGACCAGTGGTTGTTGGACACTAGTGCTTCCATTTCAGTCTGCTCAAGACTGTTTCACCTTATTCTCCATTAAATTGAAATTGTACTGAAGTTTGTCTCCATCAAACCTTTGGCAAAGAATCTTGGCTGCTTGCAGTTTGGGACATGTCAAGGTCTTTCCCCCATGTACCCACTAATTAGAGATTAATTATCAAAGGCAGCCTGCCAGTTTATGAGTTGGTGACAGCTATAAAACTCTCCATTACTTCTCAATCCTGTGACCTTGGGCCAAGCAGAGGCTGGTGTTGTAAGATTTTCTCAGGAACATTTGTCAAACACAAAGAAGTTTGTGCTCAGGAAGGGTGGGTTTCCAGAGAGTGAATAAAACACAGTCCAGAAGATCACCAGCTTATAGTCTGTTCTCTGGTCCCGCAATTCTGCAGTGTACGTTGTAGAGCTGGATTGGCATGCTGATGCTCCTGGAGAGACGGTGGTTCTTACCTGCAACACTGCTGAGGAAGACGGCATCACATGGACCTCAAACAAGAGCAGCCATGTCTTGGGCTCTGGTAAAACCCTGACCATCCAAATCAGAGAGTTTGCAGATGCTGGACGCTACACCTGTCACAAAGGAGGCAAGGTTCTGAACCATTTGCTCCTGCTACTCCACAAAAAGGAGGATGAAGTTTGGTCCACTGATATTTTAAAGGAACAGAAAGGTAATTTTATTTCCTCGGCTAGTGCAATTTTTACCTCCTTACCCTCAAACCAATACAAAAGTTAAAAATTGAGATGTGAAAGCATAGTTAATGTGTGAACAGCCAGTCTCTTACTGAAACTACCCAGAACCTCCATTTTCCTTTGCTTTCTGAAAAATTTGGGTTACCAGACATTGCAGTAATATATTGAGAAAAACTGTCAGTATGAATGCTTGCACTGAGGTTTTGTTCAAGTAATAGAGATACTACTTGGAGTGTAGTGAAAGTAATGCAATATGTAGGGTGCATAACTCATTCCTGGAGAGATGGCCCTGAACAAATTTAACACTAATATGTTAAATGGGCAGAGTAGTGTAGGGATCCGTTGGCCTCTTGGTAGTTCTGGGGAGAAAATGGTGAGAGGATTCATAAAATAAAGATAAGAGATAATAACTGAGGTCAGTGGGTGGACCAAACCTGATAGGCCAAGGCCCCAGAACAACCCCAGGGGTGTTTATTTATACCTTTGCAAAGTTACAAGTTACAATGTTGCCCAAATTGTGGCCTATAGCGCACAATGTCCAGGAAGGATGTTTCTCTCAAGACTGAGGTAGCTTGTCCTGCCCTCCCACAGAGGATCACTTGCCAGCTTTGGCAGCTCCCAACAGAGCAGCATGCGCTGCAGAATCAGCATCAGGTTGGGACGCTCCCAATGTTTGCTGAACTACCTGCCAAAAAAGCAACATCATGTTTCAAAAACATAAATGGAAGAATGTCACCCTTGGGCCATTTGATGACCACTGACTAATCATGATCAAAATCTTTCTGGAAGGAAACCCTTACATATTGGATTTTTTTTTTTTTTCTTTGCAAACACAGAGAACAAAAGCAAGACCTTTCTGAAATGTGAAGCTAGGAGTTATTCTGGACATTTCACATGCTCGTGGCTGACGGCAATCGATGAGGATGTGACATTCAAGGTCAAGGGCAGCAGAGGGTAAGTGAAGCCACTCGATTTACCAATTTTTTTTGTTAATTTTATTCAGAAACAAAAAGCAATGAGACAGTTTCAAAATAGGTTAGTAGGACAGTTACAATAATTAATATATTGCATATTGTTGTCTTCATAGTTGTTATTCATAGTACAAGATGCAGATATGATATCCTGCCCAAACACTATTAGAACAAATCTTTCTTCTCATTGAATTAAGAGAAAGTAGCTGTATATCTATCCTATTTTGTATATACAGATATAAAATGGTCCTTCATTTGTAGCCCCTTTTTTGTTTAGTTTTGTCAGAGAAGGGTATTCCATTACCATTTAAATATTTTAGGTGCATGAACTCAGCAAAATATTCCACTACAGTCCAGTAGGTACACAATAGTAGTGGGTTATCTGTAGGACTGGAGATGTCAGAAGTTGTTGACTTTAGCAATGTTTTCACGCAACTATGTCATCATGAAAACAAGAGCAAAACATCATTGCTCTGCCAGGGCATGATAAGGAGACCGGCAAAGTTAAGGTCATATTTTTTTCAACTACTGCCCCATTGGTTAAACTAAAGGAAGAATATGGATGTTTAAGCCAACCCTCTAAACAAACGCATATGTCAGAGCAGGGCAGTAGAGTTTCCTGAGCGTGGTCTCCGCTGCTGCGTTTGAACCTACTCATGCAGATTTGGCGAGACATCGTTAAGGCTGATCTCACCATGGGGAAAAATCAGAGGGGGAAATCAAAGCTACAAATGGTTTGCCGAAGTGTACCTTGAGTCAAAAACAGAAGCACGTGCTCCAGGACATAGATCTTGGACATACTGAAAGAAAACTCCAAGGCTCTCGAAGCCTCCTGAAATTTTCCCAGGGCCACTTCAAGTCATTTTTCTTCTGTGGCTACAACTTGTTTGAGGATCACTGTTTGCCCACCACACTTCAAACTTTCCCTAAGATGCCAATTCCAATGGATACAGAGCTCGTGTGTTCGCCCTATACATAATTGAATTTAATCATCATCCAAGGTCCTGAGCAGTGCCAGACAGTGGTGCCAACCCTAGGTGATCATGTGGCTTCGTCACCATTTGAATAAGTAGATTGAGCATTGGGATCTCATTTTCCTGTCTTTAAAATGAAAACACTGGCTCCAGAATTCTTATACCAGAGCTGAAACACACAGCTGCATGTCTGAGAAGCACTGTAACATTTCATGCCACCAGAAAAGGAATGGTTAAATAAAATACAGCGCGTTATTCTCTAGCTTACTAAGGCATTGATCAAAATGAGTAACAAAACCTAATCTATATGCTGTGTCATGGAGAGTTTACCATAAAATTTTCAAAGAGAAAAAAAAAAAACATGGCTATAAAATCATATGTATGTAATTTGATCCTATTTTATTTTAAAAAACTTATTTATATATAAATAATAGATACATGTGCATATACAAGTAAATATATGGTTATCTTGAATATTTAGTGAAATAAGTCTGGAGGAAGAGCTGGGGATATAGCTCGGAGGTACAGTGCGTGCCTAGCAAGCGGCAGGTCATGAGTTTGATTCCCAGGACAATGTATACTTGGAGGACTCATCCATCCATGGATAGCTTGTTAGGGAAGCTCCTCTGTGTAGGGAATGAGGTTAGGATTTGAAAATACAGCCACATAATACTTCCTTCAAACACACCTTTATCATTTTAATTTTTATGCTTGGTGTGTATGTGTTGATTTTGTTATTAGTATAAAAAAACTTCAAATTTAATAAGCGATGTAATCTGACACTCTAGATCTAAAACAAATTTCTAGACTCATTTAGGCCAAGGTATGCAAGTGTAGGTTTTGGGCTTTTGGAAACTAAGCTTGTTCTCCGTGGGAGGGTTGTTGCTCACCTCCAGGAGAAAAATCTATCCAGCTGGACAAACTGTATTCTCAGACAGATGACTGAAGCCATACCTGGCTTGTTGGCTATAGTCAATGGGAACTGTGTCCACCACACAGAAGCTAATTTCTGCCTTTGTCTTCAGATCCTCTGACCCCTCAGGAGTGACTTGTGGAGCAGCAACTCTCTCTTCAGAGAAGGTCAGAGTGGACAACAGTGAGTACACGAAGTACTCCGTGGAGTGTGAGGAGGACAGCGCCTGCCCCTCCGCAGAGGAAAGTCTGCCCATCGAGGTGGTGATGGATGCTGTCCACATGCTCAAGTATGAAATGTACACCAGCAGCTTCTACATCCGAGACATCAGTGAGTTTGAAACGCTTATATGCACCTCATAAGGAAAAATGCCATTTGTCACATGTGGACAGTGCCCCAGGTGTAGGTGAGGAAGGGCTTTACATGCATCCACTTTGGTACTGCACCCCTCCACAAGAACGGACAAGGTGGAAGCCATTACCTATGTTTCTTATAAAGAGAATGCAGACCTGCATCTGCCCCACTAGAGAGCATGTGCTCATTGCCACACTTCTATCTCGCTGCCCAATTCATGACACAATAAAGCCAAGAGTGCCTCAGTTGTATCTACATTCAAAACCAGAATATCTCTATTAATTGCTGTTGTCCCTCTGTAGCGCTCAAATGATACAGACAGTATATAGACAGTACATTCAGGAAGCAATGTATACAAACTCCTCCAAAATTGACCCTTATCTTTTAATTGGCAGATAGAAATTTCATCATTCATCACTCTCTTTATCATTTACTCATTGAACAAGCATCATGATAAGGTGTGACAGGATCAGAATCACAGACCTTGCCCTAGAATGCGTAGAAAGTTCATGCATGGCAGGTGGGGGACAATGGTCATAGGGTGGCCAGGGAAGCCTTTGCAGAGCAGATGGCATTCAGCTGAGATTTAAAGGAAAGACATCAGTTGTAGTAAGTGGGGAGGGGATATCTACCTGGCATCTGCTAGAAGCCCAGTCTTTGGAGCAGTGCTGGCATTCAGAGCTTATGCACATGCCATGGAAAATCCCCTCCTTAGGATGGAGTCTTCCTACTGGTCACTGCTGTATCTTCCAGCCAAGTCCAGCAATGGCATTTTATAGATGCTCAGTGGTTATCTATGGAACAAGGGAATGAGCTTAGAGACAGTCTGCTCGGCTACATTGCAAGTCAGGGCCAGCAGCTGCAAAGATGAAAGACAGAGGAGGAAGTGGAAAATCTCTTGTTTCATCCCCAGTGACTTGGCTCCACTCAGTTATGTTTTCAGTGTGAGGAGGATGGTCCTGCACTGAAGACCCCAGACAGGAGAATGTTGCCCCTATGAGCTCTCTTTGGGGTACTACACAGGGGTGGCACCAGCACCAGGGCTCATCTGATGATGGAAGGATTCTGAGCTCCAAAGTAAAGGCCGGGGCTATTTTTTTTTCTTTAAATTTT